GAAACCACCTATGTCGTGCACTATGAAGCCAGGTACCTTTCACATGAATCTTTATGTTCCCTTCCAGAAGTAATATTGCAGGATTATATATAAAATACATGCCCCGCTAAGAATTCTAATATATTTTGATCATAGGATGTGCACGAACAACATTTTATATATTTCAGAAGGGGGAATAACCTGAAATTGTACCTATATATATTCATATTGTCCATGGGGTCATAGAATAGGCTGTTCATGGATTCCAATTCCTCAGCTTCCTATTTCGTTTATACAGGGTACCAAATCACTGTCCGCAAATTCTAGAATTACTGCATGAAGTTAACACATTAGACTTTATATCATGCACATTACTTTCCATATCGGATTCGTATATTTCTTTTTCTCCAACTGATGTATGTTAATTGTTTGGACTCATATAAACGCTCTCCAGTGCAAAATTATGTCGTTCTCGGATTATGTCGATAACCTATTCATATAAACAAGGGAGGCATTAACCACTTTATGAAGAAAACTGGTATATATTTAAATATTATTGTATCATCCATTTGTATAATAAAGACCAGCATATTCAGAAAATAGAAAAAAATAATAAGAAGCCTTTGAAGACATCGTGCAATTCAAATAATTACACACTTGTTGATACCCACTCTCCCATGAACTGCATTATGTTCCTGCTGAATATTTTTACTTCTCGAAAAAAACATATATGACTACGCCTTCCTCCGAACGGTAACAAAGACTTCGTCAGTAACCAGATAAACCTGTATTTTTACAGTAAATAAAAATCCTCCCACAATTTAGGGACAGAAGACGAAAAGATACCATAATGTTAGGAACACGGCCAAATGAGATTAGAGAAACCCCTTATAAAACAACATATGTTACACAGCTGCATGGAAGCTTTTCATATTGTACATACTCTCTTGCAGGAATCAGCCACAACTAGGGTTCCACTACGTACAGCTATTAATGATACATATTGCTTCAACTTATTCTCACAAATGTCGATTCAGTTTATACTAATTTTATACGAACTAATATTCATTCAAAAGAAGTTTGTTCTACATGCACCTATTTCAGCGATTCCTATATGGCATGCCTTATCTATCTAATAAATGTGAACCGATCGTTAAGAAACAAGAAAAAGAAAAC